ATATGTATGTATGTATGAGCAATGAAGGCACAGGCAAGCAGAGGCATGAACTGTGGCTAAGAAGGGCTGTATATGCGAGTAAAGAGAGACCCTTCAGGTCTTTACCTACTCTGTATTTACACCTCAGCTGTGGTCCCTTACTGTGTACTTGGTGATCATTTGCTGAGTGCTATAGTCGGGTCACGCCCTCTTCAGTTGTGACAAACTCGATTGTTAAAGCATAGAACAAGCTGTATCTTAGCAGAAGCTTCATGAAGAGCGGAGACTGAGAGTGTGTTAGTTTTCTACTGCCAGGTAACAGAGGAGTCCACCGGGAGCCCAGGGTCAGCTGCCGAGTAACAACAGACACAGATTTCCCAGGTCACTAGAGGGTACTGACTGATGGGCCCAGCATCTCCAGTCAGAAGTCAGGCACTGACAGACACACGTCTCAGCTGTGGATTTCCCCCACGGCTTAATGATTAGAGCTGTGAACGTGTTACAGGCATCCGTGCTGGCTCTCTTCTGGAAGGCCAATGCTCTGTGCTGAGTTCACTTTTCCTGATTGTCAATAACTGTATGTGCTAAGGAATTCTGGGCAGTTGAGTGGCCAAGCAGGTAAAGGTTTCTGAGTTCTATCCCCCAAACCCATGTAGAACAAGGAGAGAACTGGCTCTTGCAAGCTGTCTTCTCTCCTCTTTCCATGGCAGGCGTGCAACACACATTAGATAAATGTTAAAAAATTATACTAAGGAATTTCAATGACCCCTCAGTTGAGAGTGTGCTTATCCAGCTTGGCTATTGCCATTGTTCTGTGAGCTTTTTGAATTCAGACAGGCCCTGTGTCCCAAGGGTTTGTCCTCCTACTCTGGCCTGGCTCTGTCTTAATACTGGTTTTGCCACTGGCAGGGGGTTCAACCCTTTGTCACCTCCAACTATAAAAACAGCCATCAACTCTTAATCGGGGCATTTGTAAGGGCTGAAAGTCTCATGGACCAATCAATCTGTTCACTGAGAATTCATTTGCACACACACCCTTTTCTCCAAAGAATATCCATCCTTCTGTGTACAGTAGAGCTCCACTTCTAAGCTCTGTGTTCCGTTTGGCCAGGCAGTGTGTTATATCAGCCAAGTCCATCCTTGGTTGTCAACTTGCCTACTTCTAGAATCAACTGAAAGCCAAGCAGTTGGGTACACCTGTGAGGGGTTTTTCTTAAATCATTTGAAGTGGGAAGACCTTTAACTCAGAGCTTTCGAGGTGGGAAGATCTGCCTTTAATCTTGGCCACACCTTCTGCTGGAAGCTTATATAAAAGAGACGGCAGAAGAAAGCTCTCTTGCTTTGCCTGCTTGCTCTCTCCTCATTTACAAGTTCATTCCTTCACTGGCATTAGAGCCTGCTTCCTCAGGTTACCGGCAGACCAGCTGAGACATCCAGCCTTGTGAACTGAACTACTGGATTCTTGGACTTTCTTTTGGTAGACTGCTATTGTTGGACTAGCTGGATTATACTCTGTAAGCCATTGTAATAAGCCCTGACCCATCTCTGGATCTCTATCATCTATCTATCTATCTATCTATCTATCTATCTATCTACCCACCCATCTCTATATAAGGAATTAGATAGATAGATAGATAGATAGATAGATAGATAGATAGATAGATAGATAGGCTCTATCAGTTGTTTCTCTAGAGAACTCTAACACACATACTGTATTAAGACCCATGTCTTTGTAGTATAGTTGCCATTAGACAGTATGGTGCCTTCAGCTTTGCTTTCGGCTCATTGGATGGGCTGAGTTTTACATTCCATATGTATTTCAGGGTGTTTTCTTTTGGTGAGCTATGAAGTTGGGACTATGACAGGTATTTTTTTTTATTTTTTTTATTGGATATTTTATTTATTTACATTTCAGATGTCATCCCCTTTCCCCATTTCCCCTCCCTAGAACCACCTATCCTATCCCCCCTCCTCCTTTTTTGCTTTTATACCATTTTAGTTACATGTATGTATTAAGGTCAGTTCTAGGTTGAGGGTCTAGCAATACAATAGATGCAAATAGTCAAGGAACAAACAAGACAATAAACACAAATAGTCAAAGAACAAGCAAGGCATTAAATACAATTACGTGAACACTCCCGTGATCACTGTTTCTAAGGGCTTATCAGGATGAACAAAATATCTGAGCCTACTTCCCTGTCTTAGCCCAAGGTTATTTTCATGTCTGAAGCCTACTTCCTTGTTCTAGCCTAAAATTTAGACTCCTGTCTGAAATTACTTCTTTGTTCAAGCCTAATATTTAGATTCCTGCCTGAAATTACTTTGTTCTAGCCTAATATTTAGATTCCTACCTGAAATTACTTCTTTATTCTAGCCTAATGTCAGATTCCTGCCTGAAGCCTACTTCATTGTCCTTGGCCAATGTCATATTCCTGCCAAGCAGCCTATTTCCTTGTTCTTGGCCTATGTCAAACCTCCACCAGAGAACTCCTAATCCTGATTAAAAAAAAAAAAACTTCAGCAAAGTGGCTGGATATAAAGTTTACTCAAATAAATCAGTAGCCTTCCTCTACTTAAAGGATAAGCAGGCTGAGAAAAAAGTTAGGGAAACAACACCCTTCACAGTAGTCACAAATAATATAGAATATCTCAGTGTGAATCTAAAAAAGCAAGTAACAGATCTATATGACAAGAACTTCAAGTCACTGAAGAAAGAAATCAAAGAAGATCTCAGAAGATGGAAAGATCTCCCATGCTCATGGCTTGAAAGGATTAATATAGTAAAAATGGCCATCTTGCCAAGAGCAATCTACAGATTTAATGCAATCTCCATTAAAATCCCAACTCAATTCTTCACAGAGGTAGAAAGAGCAATCCTCAAATTCATTTGGAATAACAAAAAACCCAGGATAGCAAAAACCATTCTCAACAATGAAAGAACATCTTGGGGAATCACCATTCCTGATCTCAAGCTGTATTACAGAGCAGTAGTGATAAAAACTGCATGGTATTGGTACAGAGACAGGCAGGTAGATCAATGGAATATGGAATATGACTTCTGCACTGTGCAGAAGACATTATAATCTTGGTCCTTCAATCCACGGACAAGGGCATCTTTTGGTGTAGCCATACGTTCGTCAATTCTTTCATCAATGTGTTCATTAAGAATAGATTTCCCACTTTCTTATTAACTTTACTACTGTCTTATGCTGTATTTAGCTTTATTGTAACCATTGTAAATGGGGTAGCTCTCCCGATTCCTTCCTCTGAGTTTGCTGCTCTCACAGCAAATGCTATGACTTTAATTCGTTTACCAGTTGCAATTTCTCTCTTTTGGTAGAATCTGTCATGCTAATAGCAAATAGGGATGGGTTAATGTTGTCTTCTTTCTGACTTCTTTTTAAATTCTTTTATTACCTTGTCCAGGAAGGACTTCCAGTAATAGGCTGAGTACTTCCAGTGCTGTACTGAGTACTTCCAGTGCTATACAGAGTATTTCCAGTGCTGTATTGAGTACCTCCAGTGTTGTATTGGTTTCCTCCAGTGGTGAGAGCAGGCAGCCTTCCTTGTCTCATTCCAGGCCTTAAAAAGGGCTTCAGCTTTCTACTGTAAACTGTTGGGTATAGGCTTCTCATACAGGGTCTTCACTCTGCAGAGGTAGTCCTCTATACTGTAAACAATTCCTCTATACCCAATTTGGATACTTTTTTGTTTTTTTTCAAGACAAGGCTCTGTATAATCCAGGCTGTCCTGGAACTCATGATGTAGATCAGGTTGGCTTTGAACTCACAGAGATCTCACTTGCCTCTGTCTCCCCAGTGATGGGGCTAAAGATGTGCAAAATCATCTAGCTTGGATAATGTTTTTAATTATGAAAGCCTATTGAATATGTCAGCGGCTCTTCCTGCATGTGAAACATGGTCACATGGCTTTTTCATTGTTAGTCAGGCGTATCATATATACAGGTATGCTTTAAGTTGAACCATCTCTGCACACTGGAAACAAATCCTACTCAGTCCTCATGGACTGGACTTTCATGTGTCCTGAATTCATAAAACTGTTAAGGATTTTCCTGAGTCCTTTGTCTTTTCCTGGTCCTTTCTTTGACTTTTCTTCTAGGGCCCTAGCCTGTAGTTTAATTGTTTTATGCGGTCCTTGTCTGGTTTTGGTACCAAGGACACTGAATGCTGGCCTTGTAAATGGAGTTTGGAAATGATCCCTCCTTTTTGGGTTTTTGAAGGAATGTGAGGAAAACTGGTGTTAGCTCCTGAAATACTCGGCAGAATGCAGCAGTAAACCACCCGGTCCCACACTTTTCTCTGATGGGAGATGTTCACCAATCTCAATCTTTCAGTGAAATGGCTCATTCATCTGTGTGCCTCCAAAGCTACCTGTTAAGCAACTCCCATACCAGGGGCTGCAGAGTGGGTCTAGAAGGCCTCCAAGTTACATGGGGCAGACTTGTGTGGCCTCGTCCTGCTAGCTGAATGCCATACAGGAGGAAGAATGCCTGGGGTGAGAGAGGGGTGGGCCAGTGCACAGAGGGAAGGGTAGGCAAGCTCCAAAAGGGGCCTGAATTCAGGCTTTCTGTTCCCACAAACACTCCTGGATAGGGCAAGCAGACTCCTGGCCCAGGACAACACATACCTGGAGTCGTGTGGCTGCACTTGAGACAGGGCCTATCCTCCTTCTCCTTCTGAGGTCCCAAGCATGTGATCAAGGCCACAGAACTGCTGTGATCAAGGCCAGGCCTAGAGCACAAGGCCCAGTGTTGGAACAGAGCCTAAGCCTTGAAGAGTGAGTCAAGACCATAGGGCTGACAAGGTGGGTGGCTCAGTGTGTAAAGGAGCTTGCCACCAAGCTTGACATCTTGTGTTTGATCTCTAATACCCACATGATAGAAGAGAATAGACTCCAGCAAGTTGTGCTCTGACTGCCATATCTGGACCATGGCATAGGTGCGCACCCCTACCCCCTGCCACCAAATAAATGCAATAAAAAGACCACAGGCCGTATGAAGCATCTTTATTTCATGTTTCCAACACATCACATTCAAAGCACACATCCTGCCCGGCTCAGCTCATGGGCTCAGACACAGGACTATCACCAGTGTCTCGTACACCCAGTCAAGCATTTGCACACATAGAAATACATTCAGGGCTTAAGTTAACCTCATGGGTCCTTGTCATCTCATAAAAAAACACCACAGGGCAGATCTTTATGGGCCTACCCTTCTGGCTAAGGGATGATCTGCACCATGGAAGGATCAAGAAGGATGGCGCTTCTCCACAGAGCCACAGAGGCAGCTTTTCTTATAACTGGGCGCCTCTCACCCAGGACAGGCACTGGTCTGAGGGAGCATGTCACTCTGCTGATCCAGGACATTGAATTGCCTGCACAGCACTCTGTTGATGTTGCGGCCCCTCTGACCCAGGATGACCTGAACAGAAGCAGGCACACACCTTCCCTATGTCTTCCCCATAGCCTCTGGGCGGAGCCCTAGTGCCTGGGCAGTGGTGCGCTGCTCCTGAAGAAGGGACAGGTCAGAGAGTGGGCTGCAGTGGATAACTGAGGACAGGGGTCTGCTCTAGGAGTCTGAGGCTCTTGCCCTATAGGTGGCCCAGTGGTCCTCGGGGACCCCACATCACAGAGGCCAGGCAGCCTGGGGGCATATGTGGGACATATATGAGGGAAGTCAGTCTGAGGGCCCTGTAGAAGCCTAGCAACAGAGGGCAAAGGCTCCAACCCAGTGGATTTGGAAAGGGGCAGTAGGGCATGAAGGGACGACAGCCCAGCAGCTCCTGGCTATCACCATCCAGGTGGTAGTGGTAAGGATCTCCCAACACAAGGCTGGGATTGTAGAACCACTAATCCCTGCCCTGTTGTGGCTAAGTTTGGGCCCATGAGACAATCTCTGGGACCCTGACTGACAATAACCCCTGCTACCTAGGGGTTCTTTGACCCTTCTCCCCACAAGGACAGGGAGTGCGGTAATTAAAGACATAAAGTAAGGTGACCATGAGAAGCTTCAGCCTGCCCTGGCCTCTTCTTGTTCCACAGCCTCCCAGGATCCAACTCCTGATCTAAACCAAGCCAAGCCTAAACATAGTGGCCATTAAAGGCTGTGTGTTCGGAAATCCTAGCTCAGCCTAAGTCATGTTCGGACTTTATTTTTTCTGGACTTTATTCTTTCACTTAACAGAATAGATTTGTGCAACCGAGAGCAGGCTTGAGATGGCGGCCCCCCTCTGCCTGGCACCCATCTAACAGGGCTCTCTGAGGGAACCTTCCTCTTGGCTTCTGAAATGGGGGCTGTAGGGAGGGCATTTGGCAAGGTAGGACCAGGGTGAGGGACACTCCTGGCCACACTGAACTTCTGAAGCCAGGATTCTCTTTTGGGCTCTCTTTGGTATCTCATCAATCTAGGCTGCCTATCCCGCCAAGCCCTGGACCATGCTGGGGCCTATTCTGCTAGGTCACACCAGGAATGGACTAGTCCAGAGGCCAGCAACTGCCCAGGCAGGGAGGGGATGCTATCCCCAGGGTGAGGCCACTGCCATGGGCCCCTGGCTCACTTCTTGTAGTGATTGGGTGCATCTGCGAAGGCAAACTTGAGGCGATAGGCCTCGGCCAGCAGCAGGCTGACATCCTGGTCATCCCAGCGGGCAGTAGGCAGGTTCTGGAGGAAGAGCAGCAACTCCTGAGGAGAGAGACAGACAGTTAGGGAGAGTTAAGACTGCAGGCCAGGTCCCAAACACATATCCTTGGGAGACCTCTGTCAGCAGCAGGGAGACAGCTTGGGGCAGTGCCCTCAGCCGTTGTGGCTGTCCTACTCACTTGGCCTTCAGCCCCACCCAGCCAGATCCTGGCTTTTACAGAGTCTTATCTGCCACCCAGCTCAGCATCTGAGAAGCCATACAGTGGGTCTTCCCCATACTTCAGTTGGGACCCCTTTATCTAAACCCTCTGACATTCCAGGGTGACAGTATCAGTCATCCCCATGGCCAGGAAGCAGGAGAATTCTGAGAGCCAAAAGCCTCTCTGAAACCAGAGAGTGACACACGACTTCTGTCAGAGACACCTACTTCCTTGTGTATCAGGTGACCACCTCAGGTCTCAGAAATGTGCTTATACCACAGGGCAGAGCCAGCACAGAGGTCCCCTACCAGAACCACCTCTCTCTCATGTTCTTCCCAAAGCAAAGGTAACAGATTCTGACGCTAGGGGGCTAGGCAACAAGATACTTTTCTGAGCACTTGAGGACAATCATTCATGTCACCTGAAAGTCCAAAGACCTCCTTTGTAAACACAGCATGACTGGCCTGCCAGCCAATGGGGTGATACATGGACTGCAGGGACATGTCCAGCACCAGACAGGCACACAATGAACACACCAGACACATCTGCACATGGTGGGCAGACAGCAGATACATACTACATATACTGGGCATGTACTGAATACAATAAACATGCATTGCACACAGTGGGCATACAGTAGACACCCAAGTCACACAGTGGGCATACATCTGACATGCATTACACACAGTATGTGCACAGTATATACACAGTGCACCCACTGGATATGCACTGCACACACTGGGCACACACTGAGTGCAGGCTGAATACACACTGGATAGTTCCTGCTACTGTCACTCAGTACTGCTGGCACCAGGAATAAGACACTCTGCTTTGGAATGTCCATGCTACAGCCCCTCTGCTTTACTCAGCACCCCAGGCATGCATTGTGTCATGTCTCAGAGTGGGGATGTGGGGGCACTCTACAGGCTCAGGGATGTCTGAGGGCTAAGAGGACCAAGGATAGCCAGTGTCTAGACTGTGAGTTACTGACAACAGTTGAGGTTGGTGACGGAAGGGAAACCACTGTCATGGTCTTGGGGTACCATGGTACGATGCAGGTGACCATCCCATCACGGCAGTGACAGCCTGGCCTCTTCTGTCAGATGATGGCTCACATAAAGCAACTCTGGGGACTTCATTAAGGACTGAGAGGGTCCCGGGAGACTGTAATACTAAGAGGAATTAAGCAGGCATGGGCCTTGTGTGGTTATGATAGCTTCCCACAGAGGAATCACCAAAGAGAAATGGCTGTGAGCTAGGCCACCCCTTCCAGGGAATAGCACATGCCTTTCCAATGGTTCTGCACACTAGCTCTACAGGACTTGGGCCCTGAAGCCATCCTGCCCCGGCTCCAGACAGCTAACAAGAGACAGAGAACAGCTGGCCTCAAAACAGTACAGCCCAGTGGGCCAGGCTTCCAATCCATGGCAGCTACCGGACTGGTCCACCGAGCTTAATACCCTACTTAAACACCACGGAAGGGCCAGAGCTGCCCATTAAGGTGGAGCAGGACAGCACGATCAGTATGGGTAGAACAAAGAGAGGCCATAGTGGTACTCAGGACAGTAGCCCAGGCTTGGCTCTGCCCCCATCGTCTCCAACCCAGTGAGGAGGGAACCTCCAGCAGCTCAGGGCTGCACACCCCAATCACGAGAGCCGTGTGCCAGGACGTTCTTTAATCGCCGTTTACTGTTGCTCCCCACCCCTGTTTCCTTTGCATTTTGGATACTTTCTGTGGGCCTTTAAATTGAATTCATGGAGCAGATCTCCCTGGCAGCATGTCCTCGGGGACACATCAACATCAATCTACTGTCTTCCACCATTAGATGCAACTTACACGGATGCCAATCCAATTCTGAGCAGGTCATAAATAAATACCTTTGGTTTTATTTTTAATCCACTTCGCTTCATATTATCATGACCTCGCTACTTGCAAGGTGAGAAGCAATACCCTCCCATTACGGTAACTTACCGACTCCACTGCACACTCAATTTCAGAATCTAATTTAGTCCCCCAGGTTCACTGGATGGAGGGAGAATGGAAATGCCCGGCTCTTCACGGCCTGCAATGCTAAAGAAGGAAAAATCTATCCAGGTGACCTTTAAGGCAGGCAAAGAACACAGACAAACACGGCCTTAAATACAGATTTCTTTTTTAAAAAGGTTTGTCTTCCTGCTGCAGCAGGCAGCAGCGTCTCCTCTCTGAGAACATGACGCATTTATTAGAGACTGTTGTCCATCACCAACATGGTACATGAGGGTAGTGGTAACTCACGAAGCCGTTGCTGGCATGGCATAGAGGCCGTGGCTGTCAGGGGACAGCTCTCTATTGCACAACTACAGTGACTGGGTATGTCCCTCCATGGAGCCCATGTTAGAACTCTGCAGGTAGCCCTTGAGCCTTCTGTCTTAACTCCAGAACCACACCAGTGCAATGACCACACTGGTGGCTGAGAAAATAAAGGGAGGGTTCGCTTCTGACACTGTGAAAAGCCACCGTGTGAGCACAGTGCAGTGCTACACAACCTGCCTTTCTCAGCTAGCCTTGTCTTTCACCAAACAAAGGAGGGCCCCTGTGGGGTCTGTGGTCAGTGAGGAACCAAAAGTGACAGACCCACTGCATGCCCCGTGGGTCAGCGCTTCTCAGCTAGGAGCACGTATTGTGGACTGTGGTCACCTGAGGCACTCTAGAGACACTAATGCCCACGGCGCTGTTGTACTTGTCAGTCTCTACTCAAACCAGCCTGACAGTGGTGCATTCCTCGCTACCCACCCACGCTATCACCCTGGTTCCCGAATGAAAAACACATACATGGAGCCTTATATTTTAGTATGTCTTAAACAGCCCAATGACTGGGCCATCCCAAACCTCCTCGTGGCTAACACTTCCCCTCTGATGTAAGTTTACTTACTAAAGTCTATATTCCATCTTTGTTGCCCTAGACCCAGCCGGAGGCTGGGGGCCTGGAGCTGCTCTTCTCTGGCTCTTATGTGTTGGCTGTCTCTTTGTCCTTTACTTCTCAGGCCTGGCAGCTCTATCTCCTCCTCCTCCCCCAGTCCCTTGTCTGGGAATCCTAAAGTCCCGCCTCTGTCTCCCTGCCCAACCATTGGCCTCCAGCAACTTTATTTACCAATCAAAACCAACTGGGGGCTGGGGTTCTCAGCATCTTATGTGTGGATTCTCATACAATTTTGGGGACTCAATTAACATAATAAAAACATTAGACGAAATCCACAACATGATGCAACCCAGGTAAACATCCTAGATGGCTGGGCTTAGAGCCCCAGCAGTGGCCTATGCCCAAAGGTGACTGGGCCATATTCTTGACACTATGGCTCCCCAACAGGAGGATACTATGGATTCAGATAGTTTCTGTTCCACCAAGCAACCTGGTCAGAGTGCACGGTGCCTCCCCTTAGGCATGGACACTTTGGAAGATGCTGAGTCAAGCCCCCAAAGCCAGGCTGCTTCAGCCTGTTCCATGTGAAGTGCTAAATGATACCCTCTTCAGCACAGTCTTGCTGACATGTCCAGCCCTTGGGGAGGTTCCAAGAGATGAAGTTCCAAAGAAACTGGCTCTGTCTGCTCCTTGATGAAGAGTTTATCTGTCTAGAGTCAGTGCTTTGCAGTGACTTCTGCACACAAGTCCTTCCAAAAAGGACAATGTGGTGGTCTTACGTTCTTGGTCCCTCTTAAGTACTTTACTGCTAGGACTCTGAAAGCTGAGGCAACAGTGATGGGGGAAGGGGGTGAAGGATCTTGGGGTCAGAGGTCAGTGGATTTTCATCTAGGCTCTGGCTCTGGACAAACCAACCTCACTGAATTCCACAGTCATGTCCCAGATGCTGTCCCAGAGATCTACCTTCTCTGTTATATCAGCAGCTCCATGTGTCTGTTGGTTCCTCAAATTTGGCACATGGCCCTCCGTGACCAATGACTATAGAGATCAGGCAGTATAGAGAGTCAATGCTTACAAGTGCTAGGCAACCAGGGCCAAATCCCACTCCTGCCTTTGTTGCTGTGTGACCCTGGGCAAATCTCATACCTCTATTGCTTCTGTTTCTCATCTACAAAATGGAGACCGTGCTGAGACCTCTCCTGTTGGTTGCTGAGTGTGTGCACACTGTCCCAGAATGCTTGTAGTAAAAGGTTCAGTGACAGCAGCCTGCCCTGTCACTGATTAATAGTATAACCGTCATTAGTGATGTGGCCGTCATTCCAAGGACAGCAAGAGCTTCTCGGCAGTGCAGCCTGGAAGAAGAAACCTGCTGCTGAACAAATTTTATGGGGGAGGACAAGTCATTTAGCAGGTAGGCTGGGGGGTGGGGTAGACAGAAAGACAGACAGATAGACAGACAGGCAGGCAGACAGACAGACAGACAGACAGACAGACAGACAGACAGACAGGCAGACAGATGGCATGTGTGTGCTTATTTGTGTGGAGGCCTGAAGACAATCTTGGGTGTTGCTCTCAGGAGCTGTCCACCTCAATGAGACCTGGGGTTCACCATAGGATTAGGGTAGGCTGGCCAGCCAGCAAGCCCAGGGATGCGTCTGTGTCTGCCTCTCCAGTGTTGGAACTACAAGCATACACCACTGTACTTAGTTTTTTCATACAGGTTGTGGGGGTCCAACTTGGGTCCTCACCAGCACTTTATCAAGTGAGTCATCTCCTTCACCAGCAGACAGGTTTAAGAAAACAATGAAATCTGTTTGGCATAATGCTCAAAGATGGAGGATAGCAGCACCCTGCTTTCCTTCTAGGGTGTTGGATGCAGCAGAGATGAGGCAGGTTCCATGGGAAGAACTGCCATCAAGGGCTGTGACTATGCTGTGGGGAG